TTCACCACCGTCATAACTTCAAAAAGTCGCCAAACAAGTGGTGATTAACTGAGGACTTGTCAGGCCCAATCTAAGAACAGCGAGGAAACAGTTCATCCAAATTCAGTTCCTTTATTGATTACACCATATAGACACAACCTTGCCAGACTAAATCTATACTACACAACTAGCGGATATACCCTGGGAGATTCTAGGGAGTGGCTATCCTGAACCTCTTATGCTTCCCATGCTCCACCTCTGGACTGTGTTGTCTTTTGTCTCCTTGCCCTTCCTGGAATGTGCCCCCTCCTTCCTGAAAGCCTTGCTCTCTCCTGCAATCCACCACATCACTACCTGCAGAGGTAATAAGCTTTCAAGGCAGCTAAAGCATTGCAGGGAATTTTGCATAATAATGTTTACAAAGCAGTATTATTTGAGATTCTCTTTCCCTCTGAACTCTCACTGACCAGCTGTGCATGTATGTGCGTGCTCTAGGGATATATACATCCAGAGATGATAATCAGTGGAAAGATGACTTAAAATACAGTGCAATATTGGCTCAAGCTCTTTATGTGAGAAGCTCCTGAAGCACACAATTATTTTAGAATGAAATAAATTAAACATGGCATCATCATGACACAAACTATCCAAAGGACAATATCTGGTTTGTTAACTACATTACCAAGTTCTAAACAGATTCTGAAGACAGAGCTCTATAGCTGACTCAAGGCAGCTGCTCCAGAGTTTTCAGCAACATCTAATTTTAAATTCAGCAGCCTCAATCTTCATAAATTATCCATGTTTGGGCAAACAACCAAATATGCATTACAGTTTACAATACTGATCCAATCATTTCTGTGTTCTAAAGACAGTATCATGGGAAAAAATATCTTATGTGGTCACTAAGAGTCAACACCAAGTTGATGGCATATAATCAACCAAAGACAGTGCCTAAGATTTGTTAGATGTTAATAAGATTTTGGCATATTTCTGCTACAGCTTTAAACCAAAGGTCAGCAACCACCAGACATTTCCCTTGGTGCCCATCAGACTTCCTGCCCATCTGACTTTTTAATAAAAATTAGATAGGAAAATGAATAGTGCAAAGCACCAGCCTCCAGCTTCATATTTCTTTTCAGGAATCTCTTTGAACCCCCAAAAGTCCCAGTTGGGATGGTAGAAAGCCTCCTAGTTCATTTTCTGGCGAATGGGTGTTTTGTGACTGGCCATGTTTACTGTAGCAGCCATTTTGTGAATAGACAGATCTGCGGTGGCAGCCATTTTGGGAGTACATCTATTGCACATGCTCAAAATTCCAAAAATACTTTAGGTCCAAAAACACTGTTTAGCCTCAACCTAAACCCTAATGGGTAAATAGCCTGCTGCTATGCCTGGTGGGCCATATGTGATCCAAAGCTGTAAGATCCACAGCTCTTAGATAGTTGCATTAATATACACTCCCCTAGTCCCTGAAACTGCTGGTGAAAAATATGCTGGTATAATTTTGAAGCCCTGAAAAGCAAGTTCTAATCTATCTCAATGCATAAAGTTGCAAGTATTCCTGTTTGTTCAGTTTTATGCAGACAATTTAGGGGAAATAATTTGTAGATTCCCCTGGCTTTGTTTTCCTTCACAGCCAATGTCAACTGTATATGGAAAAAAAAACATTACCAGTTATTCTCCTCAGTTTTGTGAGATTTGTGCAGTTATTGATGGGTCTGTGGTTGGATGCTTTAACCACTTTTCAAGTTACTTGAGTGACAGGTCAAGAGTACAGATGTGCTGTGTGCTGATAACCTGTCACTTGGGCTGTTTTTGAATGTAGACCTACCAATCTTCTGGAAGCCCAAATGATGAGAAGAATGGAAAACATTTCTCCCAGTCTATCAGACTTCTAGAAGACTGCTAAATCTCTATCCAAAAAAACTCCAGCTGACATACAGTGGTGCAGAGAAGGGCTCTGAGGTGAAGCTCCCCACCATCTCCAGCCCACTGTACGTCTGCTGGGTTACTTTGGACAAAAGTTTATCAATGTTCCAGATGACCTGTTGACAGTTTTACTATTCTTCTGTCACTTGGGCTAGAAGGAGAAATGGGGCAGAACTCTTCAGTTTCCCTGCAGATCCTAAATATCTCAAATTTCAACAAGGGAACATGAGGGCTGGCAGTGACTGGCTGCATGCAACAGGGCATTTGAGTGGGCAAAATGCTATTACCTTTCTCCATGTAATTCACTGATTTGAGGTAAAACCAGCAATACTTTTGTTTTCCAACTTAAATCACCCAGCAGCCCACAGATAGGCCTACCAATCTTTTGAAAGACCACTGAATATGTTTTTAATAATATGTCCCATATTATTAAAATAAGTATACCCATGGACATAAGAAGTTACAAAGACAGGTATCTCCTCACAAAACAGCTATTTGGTTTTTCCGGTAGGCCGAGCCTAAATGGCCATGAAGGGGCTGGAGCCAATGATAATCTGCAGCTGGAGGGCTGCAGGTTGTGACTCCTGACATAAAACAGCATTTAATTTACAATAACTCCATGTAAGTCTTTACAAGATATACCAGGATACACATGTCCAGAGCTTGTGTGTAGATCACTGAATCCTTCATTTCAAACAAAAAGCCTTTTACAGGTTTGCTGCATTCCAATACTTCCCAGCCATATGAACTGGGAATTATGGGTGCTGATGTCTAATGCTTACAAAAATGTCTAACAGAAGAATGCTTACAAAATGATGCATTATTTACCAGTTGTTCCTACAACAAAAATGACTACATTTTATTAAACATCTGCAGCATATCAAAATTAGTCTTTTCATCAAATAATCAAGTAAAAACATGTATTTGTTATTTAATAGTTCTCAAGGGAACAACTGTAATCATGTTATAATTATTTAATTGCCAAAGGGTAACTTATAAACAAGCAAAAACTATTTTGTGGAAATCTGCTGTACATTTTTTTTAGATTTTTTTTTATCCCGTCTTTATTAATTTATAAATAACTCAAGGCGGCAAGTATATCTAATACTCCTTCCTCCTCCTGTTTTCCCCACAACAACAACCCTGTGAGGTGAGTTGGGCAGAGAGAGAGTGACTGGCCCAAAGTCACCCAGCCGGCTTTTCTTGCCTAAGGCCAGACTAGAACTCAGAGTCTTCTGTTTTCTAGCCTGGTGTCTTAACCTCTAGACCAAACTGGCTATTTACAGTTAACATCATCCTTATAGTCATAAATATTTTAGTCCTATAAGATGCTTTTGTTAACAATGTCCCCACACACTTTTGTTGCAAAGAGTACAGTAATCCACACTTTCTCTTAGAATCATGTTGGATGATTTGGTTTTGTTTTCCTACAGAGAAAACAGGATAGATTTCACTCTCTAGGGTCGTCTTCTCTAAGTCCCTAGATGATATTAGCTTTGCACCGTACATAAATAAACTGCATTGCATACAATTACCAGACTGTTATAAAATACAAGATGCAGAAGCTCCTATAGCCACACATTATTTCTTTCTTATGCATATGTTCTGTATGTAGGGTGGGCTGAGAGATAATGATTGGCCTAAAATTACACATGGTGATGTGGGGACTTGAACCTGCTCTGTTTCCAGACTAACATTCAGCCTTTTCTCATCTGGCACCTGCCAGATGTTCAGGGACTGTAATTTCAAAATTCCCAGCTGCCAACCTCCCCATGACTTTACTATAGAAACAGGAACCCACATCTGTAGGTCCTTCCACCTGAATGTGTCTGCCTCTACTCTGTGCCATTCTCAAAGGGGCACTTGCTGTGCAACCAAAGCAAAGCTTGGCATTTTCAGCTGCAGCCTTTTGGCCACAGCAAATGGAGGGGCTTCCCTTGAGGGATTGTAAAATGGGAAGATTAAGACAATAGGTTATCTGGAGAAATATATATCTTTAGTAAGGTCTGTAATCAGTTTAGGAAATCAAGGGATTTGAACAATTATATTGGGAGTATATGGCTGTGTTTTTTCTTAAGACTCCCTTATTGACCATCATAGATGGGGCTTCCTAGGGTTGTGGTCAAAAACACTGGAAGGATACAAGGTCATATACCTTGGTTTCATCCAATTAAGGCAGTGCTCAATTACCTGGGCATACTGGTACACTTTCTATCTGCAAATGCTTTTGTGCCTATGTAGTGGGCAGCAGTTGGCCCTTTAAATAACAAACCAGCCTTATGAGCCCAGAGGTAGTCATTTGAACCCTGAGAGCCAGAAGTGGAAGTGAGAAACTGGTTGGGAAGCAAGGAGTGGTGGCAGCAAGGGGACCTGTTTTCCAGTCACTGTTCGCCCCTAGGCACAGGCTAGGGTTACCTCAGAACCGGAGTACCTGGAGGGAGGGGCTGGTTTGACCCTGGGGCACCTCATTCCAGGCCAAAATCTCCTCTGCTAATACAAATCTGAAGGGGGGGAGGGGAACATTGTTCCATTCAGCCGAACCTCCAGGTTGGCATGATTTTGCAAATTCTTTCACTGCTCTGTGCCAGCCCCTAGCCCCAGCCCCAGCCCCAGCCCTTCCCATTCTTCTCAATTCTCATCCAATGTGGTTATGCTGGTTGAGAATGATGGGGTTTGCATTCCAATATACTAGAGCACCTGGCTGAAGAAAACTTCAGGTTATTGAATTATGTGTACTTGAGGCAGGGAGGTGCTAGCAAAATACAACGGAAAAAGAGAAAGGTTTCCTGTTCACTAAGAGGATACAGAGTTTAGCTCCCTTCTTGCCTTCCAACACTTTATTGGACTGAGTGTCTGAGTCGACCTTGTGCTCGCCTGTCAATGTGGGGTCCTGAATCTGAAGGACGACCATCAGTTTGGTAACGCTTGTCGCTCCGTCTTCTCAACCCAGACACGCCCCGTCGTGGTGCAATCGGATCTAGGGAATATTACTGAAAAGAAGCAAGCCTTCCCAACGCTCCTCTAAGTCTGGCTTTCGGGGTCTATTTTTAGAGGCGTTCACTCCATTTATAACTCCGACAAACAAATTCGGTGGTAACTTCACAATCCTTTAATCCCGCTCATCGGATTTCATAATCTTGTGAGCCCGACGTTCATTTTCTTTCCCTGCAGTGCTTCTCCTGCCTGCGTGTCCGCCCTCCAGACGTCGAGTTTTTTCCCAGGGCGGTTCTGGGCAGCGATTGGATCCGAGGACCCCCATTGCTGACTTCGCCCCACGCCTCGAGTCGCCTCCCAAGGCGCTCTTCTGAGGGAAAAGCCGCCTTGCGGAGCCCGCGGGAGCGAAAAAAGGACGGTGCCGATTTTTTCCCGCTCCTCCGGAAAAGCCGTCGGGGAAGGTTGTCCTGTGGATGTTCTGCGAGGGTCGGCGCAGCAATTTAAAGGCCGGCCGTCCTGCGGGTGCCTCCTTCCTTCCTTCCTACGTAGCTCCTCCGGCCGCCCGCCCGGCCGCCCGCTCGCTGGCAGGATGGTGGACTTGTTCAGCGGGCGGATCCTCGTGAACCTGGAGGGCAGCCCCGTGGACCCAGAGCAAGCTTTGGAGAACAAAATCGTGGGCTTGTACTTTTCGGCCGCCTGGTGCTCCCTCTGCAGGGACTTCACCCCCACTCTGTGCGATTTCTACAGCGAACTGGTGGAGGTCGTCCCTCATCCGGCCCCTTTCCAGATCGTGTTCATCTCGTCCGACCGCAGCCGCGAAGAAATGGCAAGCTATATGTACAAGATGCACCCGGGCTGGCTGGCCTTGCCCTTCCAGGACCCCTTTAAGCAGTGAGTATGATGAGAATGGCCGGTGCCTGCAAGCTGGAGAAAAGGGTTCTTCTTTCCTTCCTTCCTTCCCCGCCACCCCTTCCCTCTTCAGTCATTTGCTAGAACGAAACGGGCAACTTGTCAGTCAGCTCCCCCGGTTTGGCGCCCTCCAGATGACTCTACAAGTCCCATAATTTGACTGTTTTGGTGGGGAGTTATGGGAGTTGAAGTCCAGCCCATTCGAAGGGCACAAGAATAGGCAGTTTGATTAAAAACCCATGAGATGCATTCAAGGAAGGGAGTGAGGAGCTCTGGTCAAAGTGCTTTGAATGGCTGGCTGCTCTTCAGAAGCTGGGGTCCACCATTTAACTGATCACACCAACTCTTCATGTATCCATTCTATTCATGTACCCCTTCCTTCCTCTGCCTGTGGGCTTATAACCCTCAGGGCTTTCCAATTAAAGAAAAAGAAAGAGACCATACCAGGGCATGTTTCTGTCTCTGCTGGCGTAGCATCATTATTCAGAAACAAATAGGTGTGTTGTGGGGTACTCATTTTATAACTCTTCTTTTAAACACCTAAACATTTGCACACCTATGTATTTGTGATGAATGGCTCCCCAAAGTGTGTGGCAGTGCTGAAGGGGAAGAGAAGAAGAAGGTATGTGGCTATTGGCCAGAGTTTAGCTATTTCCTCTTTAGATTTAACTCTTCTGTTGGAATGGTACAGGAAAATAATAGAAAAAGGTTACAAATAGGCACTGTAGAAAGAAGCCAGGATGCCCTAGACACTTTAACCAGTAAGCACCCATTACTTTCAGGCAATCATATAACTCTCCCGGTTGGACAAGTCATTAACATCCACCCAAAGATTTTACATTGCTATGTGGAGAGCTATTTTGCTGGCAGGTAGGACAGAGAGCTTGCAATCAGAATGATTAATTTTACCCTTGTGCAAAGTCTTATCAGAGATAATAGCTGCTGAACTCCTTTTAGCCTCCAGATTTTCCTACAGCCTGGGATACATTTTGAAGCTGCAGCAAGTTCACAGCATGGAGATCAACCCTGAAGTGCCTTTATTTGGCTCACTGTTCATTTGGAAATAAATGGGCATGTAAACAACAGCATGGAATATTCTCCCTGGATACAATTCACCATTCCACGTGGCCTGATTTCCCTGTTCACTTGCAATGTACTTAATTCTTTGTGAGATTACATTTACCGGATTAATAGTTCTCCTCACCTTATAATAGTACACTGAAGTTCATCTTGACTGCTTTTAAAAGTGGTACCCAGGCTTTTCTTTCCCCCACCAGTATGGATACAGTCAGATGAAGGAGGTTGCCTGAGAAGTGATAAGCCCAAACAGAGAACAACTGACTGATGAACTGATGAATTTGGCTGAGGGCTCATTTAAATCCAGAACCAGGTATCATCCTTAGGTGGAAAGCTCATATCCCAATCTAACTGACAGCCATGTGTTGGCTATGGTAAGGCAGGACAGTCAAAAGTCACCCAGGTGGATTTATCTTCTTTTTCTCTTTGTTTTTCTCTGTTCTGCCTTTTTTTTTTCTCCCCACCTCATCACTGCCCAGCATGTTGCTTGCAGAAACAGAGATTTGCTCACATCAGGTGGTTGAATCAATTGCATGCAGGGTTAAGACTAGGTGAAATTCAAATGAAGGCTACAGACTGCCTGCCTCTGATCTAGAGGACGGAGGATGCCTTGCAATGGCCAACTGCTTCAGCCACGTGCAACCTCAGTTGTTTCTGTGTATACTACCTGCTCAGGTAACAATACAGAAGTAGGCCTGATTTGCTACTCCCTGCTTCTAATCCATTTACCTTATTCCCCTTCTTTTATCTCTATTTGTTTATCCCTCTCTCAACCTTCTCAGCTTGAGTGTGGCTCCTGAAAACACCAAGGATAAAATGAAAGTTGATTTTAAAAAATCAATTGCCTTAGATATAAATTTATAACTTTAAAAGTTATATAACTGGGCTGTTATATAACTTTTCTCACATCGCCAGAGAAAGTTCCAGTATGGAGTTCAGCAGAGGTACAAGTCTAGCACAGGGAGATTTTAAAAGAACTGTGCTTAAGCTATGTCATTTAAACAAGATGAAAATAAATTCATTTTTTTTCACTGTTGATATGTTGCCCTCTACTGTGTGGTACAAAAGAAAGCATCTTCTACAGCCAACCTGACTTGTTCATATGAACATCCCAGGTATAATTAACGAAGTATCCATTCAGCTGTGGTGACCCATTTATAGATTTTGGTTAAATTATCTTTATTTCTAACTTTCTTCCAAAGAACTATAGACAGTTTCAAAGATTATCCTCATTAAGTGTATCATGACAATAACCAATTAGAAAGCCTAGGTTATTTTTTATTTAACAATTTTGATAGGTTGCCCCAATCAATATGGATTCTGGGTGGTATACTAAAATATAAATATAAAAGTAAAATATAATAAATAAAAATAACATTCAACTAATTAGGTTAGAGATAGTAATAACCTGAAGTTACTAAGTAGTTATTATGATTTAGCTGGGATTTGAATTCATTGTTTTCTCAAACTTCAACACTTGAATTCTTACCCTAAACTAGCTGCTTCCTCAAAGAAGCTCACCTGGCACTGAATTTAATTATCTTTAATCATTGGTCGAAAACATTTTTATATATTCAGACATTTTTTTTAGAGTTTAGATTTTGCCTCTTGTGATAAAAGATTTTTTTTAATTGTTTGAATGAAATTTTAATGTTAACATTGTTCGAAATTTCTCTATGTAGTCAGTTAATTTTATTTTTTGATGATTGAGTATGTAGAAATGTAAAGGAAAAAAGGATATGAAACAAGAAAAAAAAATCAAGCAAACAGAAAAAGGGGAGGGGGAAAGGCCAAATACATATTATAATACATATAGAAAAAAGTTCAGTTTTAAAACAGCATTAAAACTTGGAGTAATATTCATCATTCTTTAGTTAACATCAATAGAGAGCCAGTTCCTAGGAAGATCCAATTCATAACATTAATCCAAGATTGTAAATCTGTCTCTCCATTTGAAAAGAGCAATCTTTTTTGTTATGACCGTTACTCAATAAATCCATACTTCTTCATATAAAAAGGGATATTAGTAGAGCAAACCCATATCATATGCATAAATGATTGTGACATTATTTTAGACTACCAGCATAATGAACTGAACAGCCAATCCCTTTAAAACATTTTCTGAGGTGCCTAATAAGGATGAAAAAACTTTCAGATGAATTAATCTCATTTTAAGATCATAAGAAAAATACTTAATATACTTTAAGACCCTTAACCATTGATTTGCTGCTACAGGTCTTCCAACTTTTTTTATAAGGTTCTTATATTCACTTTAACAGTATTGTAAAAAAATCTAAAAATTAAGAGTTGTTCACAACACATTTTAGTGCTGATAGTAACTCAGTAGTTCTAGATACTGTTAATGCATTTAGACCAAATTGTGAAGTCAAAAGATGCTTTAATTGAATATATTATCAATTCCTTTTGCAGTTACTTAGATCTGATGGGCAATTGCTAATCTAAATTGACAGCATTTCTATTAATTGATGATTTAAAAAAGATTAACTTGCAATTTTCAGACTGGTGTTGTCCCCAAATATAAATGTATTGTGTAAATAAGGGTCAGAATAATATTTCCTTCCCAACATCTTCCAAATATGTCATGCATATTTAATACCAGAAATAAGTAATATCCTGATTAAAAAAGGAACAAGCCTGCTGTCATAATGTCAAACAGATCCCACAATAACTTTCTAATTGTGCTCAGAATGGCTTTTGGACAGATTGCATGGAGTCCATAGAGAAACAGAAGACAAAATATATGCTGAAAGCTTATTTTGAAAGTTAAAATCCCTGAGATCATATGGTAATTGTCAGCTCAAGTCATCGGCCAAGTCTCGAATAAATATTGAATGGTGTGAGTTTTTATAAGGAAGAGAGAGTATGACTTCAGACAATTGTGAGCTTTCAGAGGGATCAGATGACTATTCTTGCAACCGACTGGAAGAGGCCTTGTGGGGGTGAACAGATTTTGTTAGTGATGAGAAGGAAGGGAAGATGGGAAGATATGGCAAAAAGATGGCCTGATATGGAGGAGTTTCAGTAAATCTCTAAGCGAACAAAAGCTTACATAATTTCTACATGATGCATAATTAAACATGAGGACATTTTGCAAAAATGGAATGCATGATTACTATTTATAGTTTTTTATGGATTCAGAACAAGAAAACAGTGGATATGAAAATTTGGAAACCCTTTCAGTCAGTACTTTGTAACACCACCTTTGGCAGAAATAACAGCTTCCAAATATTTCCCGTAGCCAACTAAGAATCTTTCTGTTATTGCTTTTGGATGTCTTCTCTTACCACTCAGAAATATTCTTAAGTCTTCTTGCATATATTGCATGATTAAAATCTCCCTGCAGATTTTCAGTAATATCTGGGGACTGGGAAGGCCATTCTGAAATCTTTATTTTTTTTTTCTTTCCAGGAAGTACTCATGGTAGATTTGGAAGTACAATTCAGATCATTATCTTGCTGAGATATTTAATCCCTTTCAGGTATCATTTCTTTAATGACTATGGGACATTAGCTTGAAGACCAAGATAAATTTCTGCTGGAACTAACCCCAAATTGGTCAGATCTGCTAAATAGAACCAACAGTTCACTGCAAATAAGCTGTTGAAAAGTTTAGCTGACAATAGGGTAGATATTCACAGATCCACAGTACAGTATTTCTTACAGTTGTCCACAGAACTCGTTTCTCCAACTTAATTACAACATTCATTGTATCAATAGAACAGTTTGTACCAACCAAAATTCATTGTTTCAAGTATGTACAAGAAAACCTTGATGAGAATGAAACATTTTGGAACAAACTGCTTTGGATTGATTAAATAAAGATTGAACTATTTGTGTACAACCTTTCAAGACATATTTGGAGAAACAAAAGTGAATCATTTGAAGAAAATAATATGTTGCTAATCATTAAGCACTGGGGTGGTTTGATTATGCTTTGGGTTGTGCATAATCCCATGTGCTTTGGGTTGTGCATTCAACTAAATATCATTTCATCCTACAAAGTAATGTCCCATCGTAAGAGAAAAAAAAATGAAGCTGAAAAGAAATTTGATATTTCAGCAAAATATACATCCAAATCAACCATGAACTATTGACAGGAAGTAGTACTATATGTAATCATTAAGACAAATATGGGATGGAAATCATATAGTGCTTATAAGGCTGAAACACAATGGGAAGACAGACACACAAACTACTGCATTATTTTAAATGTTATACAATGAAAAGAAAACTATTTATTTTATTTATTTTAACCATTTATATGCCCCCCCCCCACCAGTCACAATGACTCTGGGTGACTTACAAATTGCTTTGCAGGGAGTATAAAGAAACAAGAGAACTAGGTAAAACTAGTATAATTGAAAAAAATATTTAAACTAGTGTTGTCCAAACTTGGCCACTTTAAGATGAGTGGACTTCAACTCCCAGAATT